TGGATGTCTTTGCATTGTGCTGTAATTGTCTCCATGTACAGCCAACAAATCTGGCCTCTGCCTTTTATTTACCTTTGTCCTGTCTTGCTTACCAAGGCGCTTGCTAATGCTTTTATCTGGGAAGCGCCGTTTTCACTAGCCCGCCAAATATTCACTATACTTTGTGATGTCAACGCCATTTCTCACAATAACCTTCCTCTGACCTGGTCATCAGCTACATACTGCAGATAATTTGGTCTCTCCTTAGACCATCTTCTACCTGTTCAAAATCACATGACTTAGCTTTGGTATGTAGATCTCTAACTGCAGTCAATGGGGTCTCTGACAGCTGGATTCTTGCCAAGAAAATGTGCTTTTCCCAAGTTTTATTCTGACATCATAGTATCCTGGACAGTTTTGAATGACTTTGCCTGCTCATTTGCAATTCCCTTCACCCTAGCACTGGGCTGCATCGTAGCCCTCCAAAGCCTCCAGGCCTGGACTTCACCCTCTGCAACCCTGAGAAAGTCAAGGGGCATAATATCCTCCATTTTTGCAAAGATTTAATTTCCTTCAACACCACGTAATAAAAGTGGTGTTGAAGGAAACCCAGGGGAGCCTATAAGAGATAGCAGCTTTAGTTCCTGATACAGGTTAGGGTTATGAAAGATTAACACCATCACAAAATTGATTCTAGTGGCAAAACCGCACAAGCTTTTTACCTAACAGATACACTTACAATAGAACAGTAATGACAGCTCATCAGGAAGAGGTTTCAAATATGCTCATTGCAAACAGCATCAAGGCAACTTTCAACCAATGCTAACAGTCCCCCAGGCTATTCTGGTGCCCTTCCTTTAGACTTAAACTCTGGTTTTCATGCTCACTGCATCTAAATGCAGAAATGCAGACCAAGTCCAAAGGGGGGGAAATGGCAATATTTCTTACAGGAAGAAGAAAAGCAGAATGAATTACTGCCATCTAGTGGCTGCAAAGGACATTTCCTCCTTTGGATGAACATGGTACTGAGACAGGGTAAAAAGAACAAAACGTTCCACCATGTAAAACTCCATTGCTGACTATGAGAATAATGATCAAGCCTTTACAATTCTGTTAATGGGATATGGTCTTAATGCTTCTAGTCTATGCATCTGTAATTATATGACTGTCTGACACGAGCAACAGAGCATGATTTCTAGTGCAGAGTCATCATGGGAGTCAATGGTAAAATTCAAACATTCTGAACGTTCACACCCGCTTTTGGCTACTTCCTGTCTATAGAATCTGAGTAAAGGCCCTGCAAGGAAAGTAACCTCTGGGCTACATAAATGTACAAACATACAGCCCTAGACAATGAAGTGTAATGTTATTTTCAATGAACTGGAGAGTGTGCATGCGTATATCATGGCCCTCTGAATCAGAACAGTTCAAAAGCATCTTAGGCCCTATACTGCTAATGGTGAGCCTCCTTTAGCTCATGTCATAGTGGCCTGTGCTTCTGAAATTCTTTCCCTGCTACCCCTTGTGAAGCTGTGAATAATGACGGTGTGCAACCTACCAACAACTGCAGTGCTTAAGCTGCCACGGATTTGTCATTATATTTGGCATTTACACAGCACTTTAGAAACATTAACTAATCAACCCTCACCACACTCCTGAGGGATGGGTTGCTATTTTCATCCTGTATTATACATATGGCAGCTGAGTCACAAAAGAGCACTTTTCAAAGAAGTTGATATCAAAGCCCAGAATAGATCCCAAGCATTCCTGGCTACTGGTGGTGTGCTCATACCATTAGATCAAATCTAACCGGATCACCAATGACAGATTATAAATGTGCTTCTTAGAATGTAGCTTGGGACTGTCTGAATTTAAAAAAAAAATACAGCATGTACTGAGGTGCAGTTGTTTTCTAATCCTCAATAATTAATTCCCCAATTAGGTTGGAGTGCAATGGCGTTAAGAACAACGCATTTGGTGTTTGTATTACAGCTTCTTTGAAGAAATGTTTTGCTGATCTCTCAAAGGCTATTCGATTGTTCCAAAACTTGTTCCTCCACATTTTGTCATAAAGGACATTGGCATGTTCAAAATTAATAGACTACATGGTAATTCTTGCTGTAGGGATTGCCTTGGGCTCAGTTTGATGCTGAGCGGTCTCCTAGCTGAGATGCTGTCAGGCTACCTTTAGGGATGCAGGTCTAATTGAGCTGCTCAAGCTGCTTTTGTCAATCCCAATAAGTCAAAAAGCACATGGAGAAGTCCCAGGACTGAGAATGTGGTTACTGCATTTCGTATTGCTGATCTAAAACAAACCAGAAAGAAGTGGGAAGACTTTCTCTGAGCACCCTCTCCAGTATAATAGCAACACCAGAGAGCGCTGCCTTCCCTGGGATCCTTAGGATGACAGCAGTGACCTAGCGCTGAGCAGAGTCAGCGCAGTCCTGGAGCAGTGGAAAAGAGGTGAAAAGTAGCCCAGAATCCAGGTCGTGTGTGTAAATCATGATCTCCTGCTAAGAGTTGCCTTTCCTGTTAATAATGCTTTTACTTAAGTGTCTATTGTTTGTTTGGTAATGTTCAGGACACAGAAGGCAGCACTATCTTCCCCCCCACAGCTTATCACCCAAAGAGAAAACACAGCACAATGTCCCTGAAAAAGACAGTGTCTTGGACCATTACTGGAGAAGGGAGTCCCATTCCCATTATTTTAGTGGGTGGCAGCCATTCATGGGCAAAGCAAGCTCCGAGGAGAGATCTGACAGCAGAGAGGATGAGCTCCATGTACAATAATGGAGGAAAGCTAGGCTTGTGCTTCAGGCACTGACAGAAACCTCAGATCTAAATTATCTTCCTGATTCTGCCACAGCACCCCTGGGTGACCCTGGAGTGAAGTCACACTCTCTGTGCCTCAGTTCCCCCTCTGTAACAAGGGGAAACAATCCTTCCCTACCACACCGGGTTTGTTTTGAAGGCAAATGCTTTAATGTTTGTGAGGCACTGCTGGGAGAAGGGAGTTCCAGACGGAAGGGGCAGCAAGGAAAAAGGCAAACGAGACAACTAGGGTCTAGGGAAGTTTTTCAAAGGAGAATTGCAGCCTGCGCATTGCCAGCAGTCCAAAGCTTTTCTTCAGCTTTGCTAGGATACTTAGCTCTTAAGTATCACAGAACACCTGATGAGAAAAACAAAGGTGAGGCAGGTGCACATAATTAACCCCATTTTACAGCTCAGGAGACTCCAGCAGAGTTTTGTTGTGTCACAACCTTCCTGTGGCAGAGGCAGTAACAGGGTGCGAGCACAGCACTTCCTAGCTCCCTCACCTGCGTTGTATCACACTTCTCGGCTGGAGTTTGTTTAGTGGCAGCGGGCTGTGCATTGCAGGTGCTGACGGCTGCTCTGAGGAGAGTCACCGCCAGACGCTGCTGCACTGGATTTACAGATTCCAGGGCCAAAAAGGACCCTTGATAACCCAGGCCAGAGCCCTACCCCACAAGGATTCCTAGAGCAGATCTTTTAATAATAATAATTTTTTAAAAATCCAGTCTTGAGGATTTAAAACTTGCCAGTGATGAAAAATCCCCCACAACTCTTGGTAAATTATCCCTCCCTGCTAAAACTTTACACCCTATGTCTAATCTGAGTTTGTCTAGCTTCAGTTTGCAGCCCTGGAATCCCCTTGTATTTCTTCCTGCTAGCGTGCAGAACCCTTCATCAAATGTTCATTCCCTCAGCAGCCACTTCTAAACTGTCACCAAGTCACCCCAGGCCCGTCGGTCAGCCCCAGAGCAGGAGAAAAGCTCGGGAGACCCTGCCACAGCAGGTCCAAGCGGCCCCAGCATGCAGCGCTTACAGCCCACCCCATCGGCCCCTAGCACCCCAGGGAGGGTTTCTCTGAAGCCCCAGCTCCTGGAGCACCAGGACAAGGGAAGAACTGGGGTGTCCGTGTCCCCACAGGTTCCTAGCCCCAGTGGATGCAGACAGCAGCTGGGAAACAGGCCCCTGGCAGCGGCCTACCCAACACTAATGTGCTACCGCCGCAGCACCCAGCCCCTAGGCGGCTTGTTGGCCCCCTGGCTTTTAAATAGCAGCTCCCGCCCTTCCTGATCGAGCGGCCTTCTCATTGGCTGTTAGCGCTGAGACTGGCGTGAGAGTCCCGCCTATCGCTGCTCTCCACGAGCCTCTCCGGCGCCGGAGACGTGGAGCGGGACGAGAAACACGGCCGGAAGAGGGGGCGGGGCGAGGGGAGACGGATAGGCCGGGAGGCCAATGAGAAGGGGAGGCCGGGGGCGGAGTAGCCAATGGTGGTGAGCGGGGTCGGGGCAGGGCGGAGAGTGGAGACCGGGCCGAGTGGGGACAGTAGCCGGCAGCTGGTGTCTGCGCGGGGGGGAGCCGCCGCCGCCGCCAGGTGAGGCCTCGGGAAGCCCCGGAGGGCGCGGGCTGAGCTCTGGGGACAGAGGGAGGGTGAGTGGGCCCCGGGGGACTAAAAGGGGGTGTCCCGAGGCCCGGGGATGGGCCCCATGAGGGGGTATCGGGGGGGGTGGAAGGCGCCCCGAGGCCGGGGGGATGGGGCCCGGGGGGGGGTGGTCCCGAGGCCGGGGGGGTGGGCCCCAGGAGGGGGTGTCCCGAGGGCGGGGGGTGGGGGATGGGCCCCAGGAGGGGGTGTCCCGAGGCCCAGGAGGGGGTGTCCCGAGGCCGGGGGGATGGGCCCCAGGAGGGGGTGTCCCGAGGCCCGGGCGGTGGGGGGTGGAAGGCGCCCCGAGGCCGGGGGGATGGGTCCCAGGAGGGGGTGTCCCCGAGGCCGGGGGGGGGAATGGGCCCCAGGAGGGGTGTCCCGAGCCCCAGGAGGGGGTGTCCGTGGGCCCCAGGAGGGGGTGTCCCGAGCCCCAGGAGGGGGTGTCCGTGGGCCCCAGGAGGGGGTGTCCCGAGGCCGGGGATGGGCCCCAGGAGGGGGTGTCCCGAGGCCCAGGAGGGGGTGTCCCGAGGCCGGGGGGATGGGCCCCAGGAGGGGGTGTCCCAAGGCTGGACACTACCCAGCTGCCTGCACGGGAACCCTGGGGGGAGCAGGCTGCTGGGGCCAGGGGCACCCCAGAGTCGCTGGGTGCTTTGCTGTCCCCAGTCAAGCCACCCCCTGGGGATCTTGCTGCCCCATTGGTGCTGGGGGACGGGTGGTGCTCCATAGACGGACCATCCCTACCCTCGAGCTGTCCTGTTGATATTTGCGTTGAGGGTCTGGTTGGGGGGCATTGCCCTGGGCCCTGCCCCCAAGAGCTCACAGTCAAAATAGACAAGACAGACCCAGGGTGGGATGGGAAATAGCAATACCATAGAGAGCTAGTGACTTGCCCCCGGTCACCCATCAGGCTGGTGTTAGAGCCCAGGTCTCACGAGTCCCAGACCGCTGCCTTATCTGCCGCATCATACTGGTACAGCTACAAACCTCTGTGCTAAGGCCATTTCTGTTCCCAGGTCTAACCCATGAGAAAGGAGATGCTCCTTGCGTCCACCCCTGGGCCCAGATGAATCTCTTGTCGATGGCTGTGGTGGCGGATCCGGAGCTGAAATGGATGAGTCTGTGGCTCCGTGTCAGATGGGCAGCAGTGCTAATGGTCCTGGTGGGCTCTCTGTTGGTGCTGTTGCTCCCACTGGCTGCTGTAGAAGAGCAGTGTCAGGCAGTGCTCAAAGGACTCTCCTTCCTGAAAAATAAACTGGGAGTAGGCTATGTAGGGATTACCAGGTACACAGGGCAGACAACTGGACTCAGCGTGACTTCAGGTAAATTAGAGCTGCTGGTGCTGAAATCCAAACCCTCCCCAGGTAAGAAATGGGCCTTCTGTGCTTGAGAGACTAGGGAAATGTTGGGGGAGTGTGGGCTGCAGACATAGGTTACTGCGTGACTGACTGTATAATACTCTGCATTTGTATAGAGTCCTGATCCAAGGATCTCCATGCACTCTATACACATTAATAAACCCCCACAACACCCCTGCAAGTTGGAGAAGTTGTCCCCATTTTACCGAAGAATTAAACTAAGGCCACACAAAAAGCTGAAAATAAAAGCTAAGACTCCTGACGCCTAGTCCCTAACTGTGCTACCACTCATTGATTTGAACCATGAAAGGAGTGCGTGCTGGTATTTTACTAGCCCTGTTGGTCCTTTGAGGTTCTTTCCGTGTTTTCTCTGTTGCGGTGAAGCTTCATTAAAATAATTTCAGGATCTTGAACACAATCTATTGGACTGGTGCAGAGCAGCCTGGATTTTGGAGCATTTCTTCCACAATTCTGACATTGTATAACCTGTTGTGCTAACTTCTTTCTTGAATGCGCCTAATTCTACTATTGACTTCTTTGGGCAGAATTCAGAGGAACGATTGCATTTCTAGCACTGTATTCTTAGCTACTTCACATGCACTAGAAAGGTATTAAATACTTTAATAAAAAAACCAGCAGAAATGCTGCTTCATACTGATCCCATTACGGACCTTGCATAATTGGCTACATGCATCATGTGAAGTGGAGATCGGCACCCTTTGGCACGCGGCCCATCAGGGAAAGCCACTGGCGGGCCGGGACTGTTTGTTTACCTGCAGCCTCCGCAGGTTCGGCCAATCGCGGCTCCCACTGGCTGCGGTTCGTCGCTCCAGGCCAATGGGGGCAGCGGGAAGCAACGCAGGACGAGGGAGGTGCTGGCCGCCGCTTCCCGCAGTCCCCATTGGCCTGGAGCAGGTAAACAAACCTTCCCCCGCCCACCAGGGGCTTTCCCTGACAGGCCGCATGCCAAAGGGTGCCGATCCCTGGTCCGAAGCATCAGCCATGTCTGAAATCTGGATACTAGGCAAGATGGACCAGTCATCTAATTGTAATAGCAACACCTATGCTAATTGTGGTTTGAGCAAGAGGCCTTCTCCAGCAGCAAGCTGTGCGGGCAGGGCTGGTCCCGATCTACATACCTTTCTCTTTAGACTAAGGTCAGGTGTACCCTTGGAAGGCTTTGCAGGTACAGCTGTAGCAGTATACCATACTGGCAAAGTGCTCCAAGGGTGAATGGAGTTTCTGTCAGCAAAACGCTCTCTGTCAGTATTCCAGCCCACTCACCTTCCCAAGTGAAAGAAGCTATTCCTGCTCCAGGACACTTTTGCTAGTATAACTGCATCTACCCTGGAGGCTTTGCTGGCACAGCTGCATTGGTTACAAATCACGCCCTGACCAACATAGCTGTGTCAGCAAAAGTTTGTAGGGTGGGCCTGGCCTGAGTTTCTGGTATTTGCAACCCACAGTAAAGTCTAGAACATGAATTCTTTATATCACTCTTGGCTTGATTAATTTCATTGTAATATGTATTAAAGGAACACTCTTAGTACCCATCACTGTAGTGTCTAAGTACTGTTGTTGTGCATTTCAGAAGTCAAATTAGAAGCCAAAGCCGCTTTGAATCAAGCCCTTGAAATGAAACGGCAGGGGAAGCGGGAGAAAGCCCATAAACTCTTCATGTACGCCCTCAAGATGGATCCAGATTATGTGGATGCTCTGAATGAGTTTGGCATCTTTTCTGAAGAGGAGAAAGACATCATTCAAGCAGACTACTTGTACTCCAAAGCACTGACCATTTCTCCTTGTCATGAAAAAGCTCTGATCAATCGGGACCGAACTCTGCCCCTGGTTGAAGAGATAGACCAGAGATACTTTAGCATTATTGACAGCAAAGTTAAAAAAGTGATGTCAATCCCCAAAGGCAATTCAGCCCTGCGGCGAGTGATGGAAGAGTCCTATTACCACCATATTTATCACACAGTTGCCATTGAAGGGAACACATTAACGCTCTCTGAAATACGGCACATCATCGAGACCAGATATGCCGTTCCTGGGAAAAGTCTCGTGGAGCAGAATGAAGTCATCGGTATGCATGCTGCTATGAAATACGTAAATACCACACTGGTATCCCGAATAGGCACTGTAACCATCAGCGACATTTTGGAGATACACAGGAGAGTGCTGGGCTATGTAGACCCAGTGGAAGCTGGGAGGTTTAGGACTACCCAGGTGTTTGTAGGACATCATATCCCACCCCATCCTCAAGATGTTGAAAAACAGATGCAGGAGTTTGTACAGTGGATCAACTCTGAAGATGCCATGAGCTTACACCCTGTGGAATTTGCTGCCTTAGCCCATTATAAACTGGTATATATACACCCATTTGTAGATGGCAATGGAAGGACCTCGCGCCTGTTAATGAATCTCATACTCATGCAGGCAGGCTATCCACCCATCACAATCCGTAAGGAGCAACGGGCAGAGTATTATCATGTCTTAGAAGCAGCCAATGAAGGAGATGTGAGACCTTTCATACGCTTCATTGCAAAATGTACTGAGACCACGTTAGATATGCTGCTTATTGCCACAACAGAATATTCAGTGGGTTTACCTGAGGCTGATGGCAGCACTGCTAGATACAAGCAAACGATTCCAGTCAAAACGTGACTGTTCTGACGATCCAATGACTAACTGAATGTGTGGAGTAATAAAGCTTCTCAACATTCCTGTTGAGAAACAACTCCACCAGAGGAGAAAATCACTCTTAGCATTTCATTTATTTAAAGATTAGTAAATTAATATACTTTTTTATCTCCATTATCCTTATGCCAAGCTAAACTGTGAAGCGTTAGTGTTGAACGTGCACTAGGTCCAGCTTGTGTTACTGGAGGGGAAAGGAGAGAGAAATCCAAAGTGAGGCCAATTTGCAAGTGTGATCCAGGCTGTAGTAAAACTGATTGAATTACTTTCTACAATCCTGTATGAGATGGCTTCCTAAAGCCAACACCTTGTAATTGCCTCAATGCCAAGTCTATCTTAATTTGTATCGTACAGGGAAGGCACGAGCACCCTTTCTAAAAGTCACAAGGTGGGGGCTAGTATTTTATTGTATTGCTACCATTGTCTTATTTCGCTTTCCAACAAAACCCCTTCAGCCAGTGTTGTAGCACTTTATTTAAAAGCTCTTTAGTGGAATTATTTTACAATTGTCCAAAGGCTCAAGATCTCCTTTCCTCCCTCACCCCACTGTAATGTGCCATACTGCTCTCTTGGTAGCTAATCTACTTTTGTTAAAGGTAACATCTAAACTTAGGGCTTTTTTTTTTTTTTTAAACTTTGTATGTTCCCTCTATTTGGGTGAGTTTTATGCAGCAACTGGGGTGGGGGAGTGGGGATTTTTTAAAATTGGTGTGAGACCACTGTCCAGGGGATTCAGGAGCAACTGAACAACCCATTTGTCCAAATTTAATTCAACTGGATTGCAAATTGATTTCTTCTATTGTGTATAAGGGTCTTATACTGCCTCCTGTAGCTTACCTAATTCTGTAAGCAGAAGTTGCCATGCCATAGAAAGTGCCTCTTGCAATGAACACTCCAGTTACATGTTTGAAAATAGGTAGCTTCTGCAAAACCCTGGGAAGTAGGTGTTCCTATACATAATAGGATTCAAGATCCAACCCCACCATGTCAGTAGCGATAGCAAATTTGTATACTAGATACTCTACAGCCCAGTTAATGCATTTTCATCTTCAAATGGTACAAGAGGCTACTAGCCCCAACTGATGGCTTTAACAATTTCTAGATTTCCTGACTGCTGATGTGGTTGAGCTATATATGTCATCTCAACAGTATGGAGAGGGCCACTTTCTGATGCTATAATTTTGCAAGTACTCAGAAGCACATCACACACAATTTCTTGCACATAGGCTCCAGTAAATTCTAATACTAGAGTCCAGTTACTGTTTGTGTAAGTTGGCAATATCTAATGAAACAATGTCAGTATATGGCCATGTTCTCATTCCTGCTCTTGCTTTGATAAAAAAGCATTTGAAGTTTATTATAAACAGTAGCCCCTCAGAGCCCTTGCTTGCTAGTTAGGTGATAGTAGGACAAAAAACTGTAGCAAACTGAAAATACAACAGCCTAATGCATCCTAGTTGGATCACCTACAGCAGCATCCTGAATCTGAGAATGCAATAAGATCTTTCCGTAGCTCACTAATTGATGGGTATCATACAGCCACTCCATTTCTGAAATCACAAGTAGCAGCTTGTAATTGTTATGCTGCCTAGTTGTTTACTATACACAATAATTTCCCCCACCCTCTGACAAATATCATTTCTCACTTAAAGGCCTGACATGAATCCTATTTAATAGCAAGTTTCATAATAAAACCAGGAGACCAATAAAGTATCAAGATACAATGTTGCCTGTTAGTATGTGCTGGCTCATGTTCATGTCATGTATCATGACTCAGTGTACTAGACGTCACTGACTGGGATAATAAACAATGGGAATTGTTTTTAAAAGCATGCTTATTTTTGTAGTACAAGATGTGTATACGGATTCTGCACTTTAGCTATTTGTGGAAAATGTTATTTTAGTAACAGATTAATAAAGTATTTTACTATGTAAATCTTTGTTTGGGGATAATATCACTTAGCACAAGTTTAATACACTACATTTTAATTTTACATAGACGAGCCCGGTTCCCTGAAATCTGTGTGCTAGATGTCATTACTAGTTACTGTTACTTTTTTTTCCACTCAGACAGATGTGGATTACTGTGCTTAGTTACAGCAAGAATTCCTGGCTAGCCCTGGCTTTGAAAAAAACAACTTTAAGTGTAGCTATAATTTACTGCATTCCAACCAACATTTCTAATTTGCTTCTAGATTCAGAGGTCACATGATGAAAAATTATTTATTGTTCCAAGCAGGGGTACATGAATGTTTTCTTCTAGAGCACTGTTTCTGGACCTTTTTGATACCAGGGATTAGCTCGCTGCCTTCCTAAACTAGGGAGATCAGGGACCAGCGTCAGTCCACGGATCGGTTGTTGAGAAACACTGTTCTAAAGCACTGAACAGAACTCATGGGATTATGGGGAAACAGGTGTACCTTGTTCCCTCTCATTTCCCAACGGTGTCACCCACAAGTTATGATGTGACAGTTTCAGTTGGTTGGTTCCAGGCTACTGAGGTGAATAATTAGTTTCAATTTAAAAAAAAAAAGCACACAACTAGAAAAGTACTGAAAATACTGTTTGTTCACACCAGTGCCAGTGTTGTAGAACTGACCTCAGCATCTTTTCCCCATACTCATGTATGTTCTGGCATCTGAAATTCCCTCATTTCAGTTGGATAATAGTATTAGTCATTTTCTCTTACATGCAGTTTAATGTATTAAGTTACTATAACTCAGTTTCAGTAAAGCATTTCACCATGTTGATCAATTAAGTAGTTTAGGGAATCATAGAACTGGAAGGGACCTCAAGAAGTCATCTAGGCCAGTCCCCTGCACTCATGGCAGGACTAATTATCTAGACCATTCCTGACAGGTGTTTCTCTAACCTGCTCTTACAAATCTCCAAATGATGGAGATTCCACAACCTCCCTAGGCAATTTATTCCAGTGCTTAACCACCCTGAGAGTTAGGAACTTTTTCCTAATGTCCAACCTAAACCTCCCTTGCTTTTAAGCCCATTGCTTTTTGTCCTATCCTCAGAGGTTAAGAACAACAATTTTTCTCCCTCCTCCTTGTAACAACCTTTTATGTACTTGAAAAGGTATGTCCCCTCGCAGTCTTCTCTTTTCCAGATTAAACAAACCCAATTTTTTCAATCTTCCCTCATAGGTCATGTTTTCTAGACCTTTAATCATTTTTGTTGCTCTTCTCTGGACTCTTTCCAATTTGTCCACATCCTTCCTGAAATGTGATGCCCAGAACTGGACACAATACTCCTGTTGAGGCCTAATCAGAGCAGAAGAATTACTTCTCGTCTTGCTTACAACACTCCTGCTAATACATCCCAGAATGATGGTGGCTTTTTTTGCAATAGCGTTACACTGTTGATTCATATTTAGCTTGTGATCCACTATGACCCCCAGATCCCTTTCCGCCGTACTCTTTCTTAGGCAGTCATTTCCCATTTTGTATGTGTGCAACTGATTGTTCCTTCCTAAGTGGAGTACTTTGCATTTATCCTTATTGAATTTCATCCTATTTACTTCAGATCATTTCTCCAGTTTGTCCAGATCATTTTGAATTTTAATCCTATCCATCCGCAAACTTTATAAGTGTACTCTCTATGCCATTATCTAAATCACTGATGAAGATATTGAACAGAACCGGACCCAGAACTGATCCCTGCGGGACCCCACCCGTTATGCCCTTCTAGCATGACTGTGAACCACTGATAACTACTCTCGGGAACGGTTATCCAACCAGTTTTGCACTGACCTTTTAGTAGCTCCGTCTAGGTTGTATTTCCCTAGTTTATTTAGGAGAAGGTCATGTGGGACAGTATCAAACACTTTACTAACATGTCCATTAAATGAAGGGATCTTGTGAGAAAAGCTAGGTATCAATATCATACTGCCACCTTACGGTAAGTGCAAATCAGACACCATATCTAAACAAAAGCGACAGTATTTAAAAAAACCTTTGAGAACTTTAGTTTAATAAAGCAATAACTCGCACTTCACATTGTGTACAAAACAAAATTCAAGAAGCAAACCATACAGAAACCAACTGTCAAGACATGGAATAGTCATTTAGCAAACAAAAGGTAAAATGGTCCGCAGTAGCATATACAGCTTTTACATGAAACAAAGTTACCAGCTCTAATGTTGTTTATGAAGCTTAAAAATAATAGTTTGAATGTCATTTACAAATACACAATATAAAAACAGACCAACTTGAGCGGAACATTGATTACATTTTTATAGAATTCCCTCCCCTCTCAATACTAAAATAGGCCATTGTGGTGAAGTTACTAGCATCTGCCATACGAACTTTTTAAATGGAAGGAGGTGTACGGGCCCATGACTTCTGAAATAAGTCAGTGTGTGTTTAAGATGGGTTGTATGTTGCCACAGAGGCTGTCTACCATCACCAACCAAATCCTGGTGACCAGTGGGGCTCTACAATCACACCATTAAGCTTTCATTCAACTGTCTCATTCTTTAAAAAAGTAAAAAAGAATACTCCATAAAACTTCATATTGTACCCAATCTGTAAAGTGAAGATTCCCCCCCATTACCCTCAATATGAGGGATCATTTAAAGCCATTTTACCGGAACAAGAAACATACCTCTTTGCTCTCAGAGAAAAAACAAACAACTGGATTTGTACAGCCCCATTCTGGATCTCGGTGAATGCAACAGTGCAGAGAAGTATTTACACATGAGTGTGATTGGCTGTTTCTCTTGCTAGCATAAATAAGGACACAACATGGCTTCCAAAAAGGCATTTCTCATTTTACTCTTGCTCACTTTTCCAGTAGCATCCTGGCAAAATCAGCATTGGACATCTTTTTAGGCTCCTCAGTGGCTACAGATGAAGTTGCTGGTGAATTCTGAACCATCCCATTCTCAGCCTTTGTCACAAGATTGCTCTGGCGTTGTAATGCACGAGGCACCATTGAGAGCTGAGTTCTGCCCTTCCCCGTCTAAAAACCAAAAGGCATGTTTGAGAACATCAAGGTGGGGG